ATAGCAAAAAGATGGAACATAGGATTTAGTAAGTAATAATTCAGGGGTATCAGAAGAGAAGCGAAGCATTTGCAACATGGAAATTTGAGAATGGACCAGCAACTGAGCTGATTAAAGCATATTAAATATAAGGCTGTGTGTGTGTGTGTGTCCTTCATTCAAGAATCCAGAGCATTGCAGCAGGTAGTGAGGAACTCGCCCATTGCCAGGGAAATTAGAGCCAATTAATCAACTACAGCTATACGCACACGCGCGCGCGCACACACACACACACACACACACACACACAGAGGTACACTACATCCTCTTAATAGCTTTCTGCCTCTGCCTACATTGCAATAAACCAATCTCTACAATCCAGTCCTCACTTTGCTTCCACACAATCCACCAAAAGATGAGTGGAAATGGTGTCTACGCATTCACCAAACACCTGTATGCTCTTATTAAAAGTAGTCACTGGGGATGCCCAAATACTTACAAGGCAGCAAGAGGGAAGCTTCATCAGCCGATAGAGGACCAACATGACAGCCTGAGCACACTCACATCTCAAATTCTTTTCTGGATCCTCCTCTCACTCCCTGGGTGATCTCTTGAATCTATGGCTGTCCCTCACCAGTGCTGTGGCCAACTTATCCTCAGAGCTTTAGGCATGGTACCCATCCTGACAACACAGAGAGATGAGATGTACCCTTGACATTCACCTTTTAGATAGGCAAGATGACAAAGCATGCAATGCTACGGTTTCAACATTTTGTGTCATAAGCAACAGCATGTGTAGGGTTGGTCAAGCATTTCTATGAAGTACCAAAATCCCCAGGTTTTCCCTTGCTGCCTTCAGGTCTCTTGTCTCAGCTCATAAAACCTCCTTCCACACCAGGGGCCACTTCCTGTATTCCCAACTTAGTTCAGTCACCAGCTGTGGTGATCTGAATGAGAATGGCCCACATGTGTTTGAATACCTGACCCCTAGTTGGTGGAAGAGTTTAGGAAGGATTAGAAAGTGTGAGCTTATTGGAGAAGGTGTTAGGCTTTGAGGCTTCAAAACCAATGCCATTTTCAACCCCTTCCCCTCTTGAGGGCGTGTGTATGTGTGTATGCATGTGCATGCATGTGCACACACATTTCAACTTGTAAATAAGATGTAAGCTCTTAGCTACTACTGCAGCACTGTGCCTGCCCACTCACCACAATGGTCATGAACTCACCCTCTGAAACTGTAAGTAAGCTCCATTGAATGTTTTCTTTTATAAGTTGCCTTGGTAACATTGTCTCTTCACAGCAATAGTAACCCTAAGGCACCAGCTCCTGAAAGAAGCATCTCCCAAACATTTCTCTAGTCTTTGTCCATCCCAACTACCACTTTTAAGGACATATCACATTCACTCCATTCTTCCTCCATGGGCCATTTCTACATGCTCTCCATTCATTTGGCTGGTGAGAGGTGAAGTGCTGCCCCCTAAAGTCTAGCACTTGCATTGCAGCCCAGCCACTCGGACTGTAAGGCATTTGCTTCTTGGATCATGTCTTCAGTATAACACTCAGTGGCCTCTCCAGCCTAACTCTAAAGACCCTCACCCCTCCCTTCTGCTGGTCACCACATAACATGTGTTTCACATAGTGTTTGTAATGTCGTCACATGTCTGTAGTGTTTTGGAATACAGTTTCCTCTTGTTGATTTAATCCATCCTTCAAGACCCCTTTGCCTATCACCAGATCTCTACTTCCTTTCAGCGAAATGATCCTTCTCTTCATATCCAAAGCATTCTGTTTGCATTATATATTTACTAATCTAACAGCCACCTTTAAGATCTCCAGCGGGAAAAATCTGCCTTACCTTCAGTACCTAGCATGTGTTAAAGAAATATGGGTTTTATACCTTAGAATTCTTTCCTACAGTTCAATCTCAAGACTGTTTGAGCCGTCCTTCCTTCTTCCTGTCTGTGCTGCCAGTGCTTAGTGCCGTCCACTCCATCAAATTGTAAGCTTCATGTTATCCAGGCCTTTCTCTATCTTCACTGGCTCGGCACCAGGCTGCCTAGGTGTGAACAGAAAATCCTTAATTTTGAGGAACAGGATCAAGATGCTCAAATAGGCTCTGGCACACACAGGAATGGGAGCTGAAGAGAAAATAAAAGCCTGCCAAGAAGGGCCTGAAAAGGTTTGTGAGGAATCGGTGGAACAAGAACTCTTGTTCCTGAGGCTGAGAAGAGGATAGGACGCGGGTTTCTCTCTCTATTGCTTGGAAAGATGTTTCATACTCTTCTTTTTTTTTTTTATTTAACTGGATCTTATTGTATAGCTTGGCCTATCCTGGAACTTACTATGTAGACCAGGCTAGCCTCAAACTCACAGAGATCCTCCTGAATGCTGAGATTAAAGGCATGTACCACTCAGCCTGGTTTGATTGTTCATACCCTTAAGCACTAAATTAAAGAAGAAGAAATTTGGGGCTGAAGAGAAGACTTGGTGGTTAGAGCATTTATTGCTTTTGCAAGGATTGCAGGATCTGATGCCCTCTTCTGACTTCTGCAGGCACCAGGCATGTGGAGCACATACATACACACAGGCAAAACACTCATACACATAAAATAAATAAATCTTTAAAAACCTGCTTAAGAATAAATTTAAAGCAAGAGGCACACAATCGGAAATCCATTTATTAGTAATAGGAAATGTTTTCTCCACTTTGGCCCCTTTAAGTACTTTAGATCTTGCCTATTAAATGTCAGTGAGGTCTCCCACATTTGAACAACGTGGAATAATAACCTTACACTTCCATTTGGAATAACTAAAAACCTGAAAAATACACCAGTTAGTGAGTCCTTGGCTATAAGACACCAAAGGAGAGGTACCCCAGAAGGGTAAATAGCATGGTGAGCCCCCAGATGCCCTGGTACCTTAAGAAGGGTCCTGTCAGGGTGCAGAGAGAGATAATCTAGACAAAGAACAGAGATCTTTGTACCAGACAGGGTCAGAGCTGGGACTCTCGGAGACCAAGACAGCTTGAGTTCACAGAACAGCAGTGGTAATTACCTTTCCTATTGTTACAACCAAATATTTGATCAGAAGCAATGTGCAGGCTCTGCCTTACATCTGGGCTGGCTTCCTGTCCAGTCTGTTTCCTCCAGACAGGCTCCACCTCCTAAAGGTTCCAACCTTCCAAAACAGCACTGTGATCTGGTGACCCAGTGCCCAGAAATGGAGCCTGGAGGACGTCCAAACCATAACAGCCATGCAGTGGGAAGGGGGACTACACAACCAGCATCTCCTGGGAACCTTTGGGCAGTACTCAGCCAATCATGGAAACGGCCCAAGGTCAGGCAAACAACTATGCAGAAAAATTGGAGACAGTGATACCTAGATTGGTCTTGACCAACTAGGCCAAGTGAAAAAGTGCAAATCTGCAGTCATTGGCTAAAGTACCCAGAATGTCACAGTAGTAGGAAAAATTAACCCTGGACTATGGACAGCTCTAGGCTCACCTAAACAAAGCTTTAATGCATGTCTCCAAAGGATCAAAGTCTTTCTAGGAAACTCAACTTTATTCCAAAAGACAGTGGAAGGATGTCTATAGGGACACACACACACACACACACACACACACAGCATTCAACATAGTAAAATGTGCAATACCTGTTATCTAATGGGGGGGCAGTAATCTACAACACCTGTGGTATCAGTTTCTTTTTTCATTGCTGTGATCAAATAAATATCTGATGTGAAGGAACTTAAGGAAAAAATACATATTTTGGCTTACAGTTCTGGCAAGGGAGGTGTAGAGGCAGGAGCATGGGGTAGCTGGTCAACTTGCCTTGGCAGTAAAGAAGTGGAGAGAGGACAGGAAGTGGGGCTGAGCTAAACAAAGCCCTCCCTCAGCTAGGGAATAAAGTACTCCAAACATGAGGCTATGGAGGACAGTTCACGTTTAAACTCCCGACACTCAGGATACATAGCGAGATACTACGACCAAAAAAAAAAAAAGGTAGAAATATTAATATTAAATAATGCTGTTCTCTCTGGGCAGTGGTGGCGCACGCTTTTAATACCAGCAATTGGGAGGCAGAGGCAGGCGGATTTCTGAGTTCAAGGCCAGCCTGGTCTACAGAGTGAGTTCCAGGACAGCCAGGGCTATATAGAGAAACCCTGTCTCGAAAAAAAAAAAAAAATGCTGCTCTCTCGAGTGTTGCAGCCAGTGAGGGACAGAGACAGTTTTCACACTCTCATGACCCCGGGGCCAGCTCTTCAACCTTCAGTAGCTGGCAAGGATCAAGGTGGGAGAAGGGTATCTCTAACTCCTCCATACCACTGCACAGGAGAGAAGAGGCAGGGCCAGCTCTCCCATGTTCATACTCTTGGGCCAGCTCACCTCCTCACCTCCCACAATGTGCTAGACCTGCTCTCCCAAGTTGGCTAGGGCGGGGTCAGCTCTCCCGCTCTGGTGCCCCCAGGACCAGCTCTCCCTTGATGCTCAGGCAAGGGGTGGGGCCAGTTCTGTCCAGCCCTCAGACATTAACATGTCCACCATTGGGGGACGGGGGTGGGGGGAGGAGGGTAGCCCAGACCAGGGACCATCTACCTGGTGTTTGGTGGTAACAGACCTCTGCTGCTGCTGGGTCATGGCCCCAGTGGCAGCACAGGTCAGGGTTCCACCACGGTACTGTGTGACATCACCAGCTACTCACATTTGGCTGTTCCTCACTCCCCCTGAGTCTCCAGTTCTGCCTCTCCACTGAGCCCACATCCTTCTGTTTCTCTTTCTCTTGCACTTCTCCACCATTTACTTGCTTCTTTTATTGGCATCCAGAGTCTCTGAGTGCCTGGGGTTGTCTCAGGAGTGGTCTTAGGCTCATCCATTGGGCACTCGGCACGGGTCATTGCCAGCACGGTCTGCCCTTCTGCAGTCCTGCCCAGCACTGGACCGGTGGTCTTCTCAGAATAGCTCCTGTCCAGGGGTCCCTGGAACCAAACTGATGGTCGTCTCAGGCTTGCTATTTTTAGGGAGTGTTAGTGTACTTATCATTCTGATGTTCACAGGACAGAACACTGAGTGTAGATATAGCCTCTCTCCTCTCTCCACCTACTGACACACATGTGACAAGGCAATGACACCTCCAGTGCCTCTAGGGGCAGGAAAGCACTATGTTTTTATATGAGATGTTCTTTGAATTTTATTTTGTTTTTAGTCTTTTGGTTTTGTTTTCAAGACAGGATTCTCTGTGTAGTCCTGACTGTTCTAGAACTCACTCTATAGACCAGGCTGATCTCAAACTTAGAGATCAACCCACCTCTGACTCCCAGGTGCTGAGATTAAAAGTGTGTGCCACCACCACCAGTATCCCTGACTTTCAACATTTGAGTAATTTAAAAAAAAAAAAAGTCTCTTATATTATGTAGTGTGTGAGAGGGGGGAGTGGGGTGGGAGTAAGAGAAGGCATTACCCTGTAGCCCAGACTAGCCTGGAACTTTCCATGTAGTCCATAATGGTCTCAATGTGTAGAAAACTTTTACCTCAGCCTCCAGACTGCTAGAATTATGATCTTGAGTGACCACAGTCACCTCATACTTCTTTCCAATGACAGATACTTGTTTTGTTTTGTTTTTAAAAATGAGTTAGGGAAAAAGGAATGGAAGAAAGGAAGGAGAAAGAAAGAAAGGGAGGGACAGGAGGGGAGGGGAGGGGAGGGGAAGGGAAGACACAGTAATTCTGGCTGGGTTATAGTTTAGGTTGGGCTGTTGTTATTGGCTAGGTGAGGACTGTGGTTTAACTTCAGGGTTACTCAGAGAGATGAGGTAGAAACACAATCTTTCCCTGGGCCCCTTCTGTCTGAAGTGTACCTGATAGATGAGTTCATCTGCCAGGTAACATTGCCTCTGCTTCTTTCTCTAGCTTGCTGGCTTCCCAAGACTAGGAGCAGGAAGGCACTGATGTGCTTTCAGCTTGCCTACTTGACACGGAAGTTCCCCATTGTCGGACTGACCATACAAGTAGAGTTGTTTCTGACATTCAGTTTTATTTTACATCCAGCCATTTTCTAACAACCTCCACCTGAAAATGTTCAAACCAACAGAAAAACCAAACTGTTACAAGTAACATTATACACTGTTCACCTGGATCCACGAGCTAACATTCAGCTGCATTTTTCTATTTATTGTGCACTGGTTTTCCTGAAGTAAATTACAACCATCTTGACAATCTAGTCCAAGGTACCTCTAGGTGACATGTCCCTAGAGCAAGATCATGCTCCTAAAATACTGAAGAAATTCAATATTAACATGACCTTTTCTCTTGAGCACATGTATGCTCATAAATGGTCAATATCCAGACCTCCTCAGTCATCCAGAACCCCCTCAGTTATCCAGACCTCCCCAACTATTCAGGCCTCCTAAGTTATCACTTTCAGAATGGCTTTGGTTTTTTTGTTTGTTTTGTTTTGTTTTTTGGTTTTTGGGGTTTTTGTTTTTTTGCAGACTCTGGACTCAGTCAAGGATTACACATGTCACTATCAGGTTGTCAAAAACTTTCAGCCCACACTAAAGTGTGGGTGCCTGAATTGATAACTCCAAGAATTAGTAAATGTCAGATAAATGAAAGCTTGGTTCTGCACTTAATCCAAAAGTAACTAAGATTCTACAAGTCCTTAATTGCAGATATGCTAATTCAAAAGCTGGAAGCCACGTCATCAGATCATCACTTTGAATAAGGGACGTAACTCACTCAAAAATGATGTAGGACATCATCCATTTCCCTCATAAATGCTGTTTGCTGGTGGCTAGTGGGTGATATAGGAAAGCCAGCTGCTTCCAGAACTTCTCATCATGTGCATAGACACAGACCGCACTGTTTCCAGAGATGTATCTGAAGAATACCCAACCTGGGTGTGAATGGTAGCACCCCAGGAGGAAGTCCAGTGAATACCTGACTCCTGATTCCTGGTCAGCTGAGGCATGAGCACACAGCTCGTTTGTCACAGCCTTGAGCCTCTCCTGACACAATGCCTTCCAAGATGCGCTGTAAACTCACATCTTGGCATTCTCAGAATCACAGAGACTCAGAGCCATGTGTGTATAAAGACAGTCCCTTCCCTATCCAGGCAAGGGATCCCTGTCCCAGCTTCCCCTTTAATGATCTGATTGTGCATAACTCAGTTCGTTTAGACTTTGAACTAGATAGTTCAGGGTCCCTCTATTTAGAAGCAAGGGCACTGGGTCTTGGCTTTGCTACTAGTGAGCTACTCGTGAGTGTAACCACACAGGCAGAACACTCACATCTCTGTGCTGTATTCAGTTAAGGAGACCACATCATCTGCCACAAATCTGCTTCTAGACAGTTGCAAGTCACACCTCCTTGCTCTCTCCAGGAACAGTCAGGCATACAGCATCTAGGTCAGCCTGCAAGTCCTCATTCCTCCACTGAAGATTGCCTCTACTGTGGGCATCCTGTTTTATCCTCAAGTCTACAAATAGTTTGCCTTTTAAACTCTGACTCCAATTTCGTCATATTTGTGCACTCCAAGGAGCAGATATCATCTTAGCCTTGACTTCAGAGTCTTATACAGCTTGACAAAATGACCATTTTTGAGAAAATAAAGATCTTGCTGTGATTCCTAGTGAAATTTCACAGAACTGTTGTCTTTAATATCTGCCTACTGGGTGCTTTGAAGGCTAACACCTATCTTCCAGGAGGCTAGTACCTCCTTTAAGACTTAAGTCCCCTGAGGATTCTATGGCCATGTCCAACCTCACCCCAGGTACTGGCTTAATTGATGGGAACATTATGAAAGTTCTACCTACAAGTCACTCTGATGACAGTGTTCCCACAAGACCCATGGGAATAAGTGTCACTCCATGCAACCATGCATTCAATTGCTGATTTAAGTTCTTAAGCATCTATTATGACCAGAACTGGACTCCAGTACCAGCTTCTCAAAGATGAAGATGCATTTAGGGCCTTTACCCTGTTTCCATTGCCAGATGCTGGGACGGTGACTTTGCTGACCCAACTGATCAAGAAACACAAAGGGCCTGAGTGAGCCATGCCTTTGGGTGTGTGTGTAAGGGAATTCATTGACTTGGGAAGGCTTACCATGAACAAGCAGTGCCCATGGGTTGAATCCCAAACTGAACAAAAGAAAGGAGGAACCAAGCCCAGCACCGGCATTCCCTTCTCTCTGCTTTCTGGGTCAGTGAGATATAAGCAAGCAGCTGCACATTACTGTTGCCACAACTGCTCTCATCATAATACCTTTCGAATCACAGCAGACTGTCTCCTCAAAACCAAACGTGTGCAGCTGGAAACTCTTCCTCTCTAAGATGTTTCTCATTGTGTATTGGTCATTGTGATAATAAAATGTTCAGATGTTCATGCCATTCTGTTTGGCAAGTTCATCAGGGATGAGAGGGCTTCTTAAGCTGGCCTGCAACATCTGCTTTCTTTAACCAGCAATGTCTGGACACCTAGGGCAGAATTTAGCAGACTCTCCAGAAAGTGAGCAGATTCACAAAGTCCATGCCTAGCTTAAGCATACAGTAAACAGTTCCTGTGAGGGGGCTTCTTGGTGGAGCTGCCTGTAAACTGTGTAGGGAGTTTCAGGGCTGCTACTAGGCAGGCTGTCTGGTGACATGGCTGCCTGAGTCAGCAAGTTCCCATAAATGAACCCTCACCCATCCTCCTGTGAGCGAGCACACAGGATTTACCGGCACAGCTGGATTTGGGGGAATCATTTTTTTGGTCTATCATCAGAACCCTATGTAGTATCAAGATAGAATCAAGAGATGTATGTTCACAACTCCACAAGAAAAGTCCCTCAACAGAAGAAACTATAGTCATGCCTTAGCAGTAGGCATGCTCTGTGACACAAGGAGAGAACCTGATGTTGATAGTGGGAAGTCAGAGAAGGCCTTGCAGGGGCTGAAGTGGAATCCTAGATCCTATCAAGAAGACAAAGAAATCGACGAAGGGGGTAGTGAGTCTTTCCCTTCTCAAAAGAGAAGGGGAAGGTGGACTGGGGGAGAAGTGGGTACTGGAGTGAAATGAAGGGTTGATACTGGGTTGTAAAGTGAATAAATATTTTTTTAAAGTTGTCATTCAAATATATGCCCTCAGCTCAGACTTCATAAATATTAATGTAGTTTGTTCTACAATGGTCACCTATAGCTCCCTCTTTACAAGAAGCCTCAGGAATGAGGCAATAAAAAAATAATAAAGCATTAACTCTTGAAACCAAAAAGAAGGAGGAAGAGGAGGAGGGGAGGAAAGAGGAGGAGAAGGAGGAGGGGGAGGAGAAGGAGGGGGAGGAGGAGGAAGAGGAGGAGAAGACAATGATGACAAGGGACGGTGACTGGGAAGTGGATGGCTCAGGGACAATAGCTCATGCAGAACACAGACACTTGAATTCGTATGGTGCTGAGCTTGCCAACAGCAAGTTCCCTGTAGAACATGAACAGGAAATCTACAGAGAGAAGTTAGAAAGGGAACCCAGGTTGGCCTTGAACTCATGACCCTCCTACCTAAGCCAAGTGTTGAGCTTGCATGTTTGTGCCAGTTGAAGGGAACTCTTTTGAATTTAGATTCCTAGACTCTACCCACTGACTTAGCATCCTATAGTGCATCCCAGAAAGCTACACCCAGTTAGCCCCGAGACCCAGTGATCCCAACATGGAAACCAGAAACTGACAAGGAACCTGGGACATTTTAAAGCAGAAATGCAAGATAACTCAATTTGTCTTTAAGGAACACTGTTTGGGATAGAATGAGGAAGGAAGCGGAGCAGACAGAGGCTGCAGAAGAGATGAGTCACTGGAGCTGTCTTACGGAGAGATGATGAATGGAAGCAATTGGGCGGCAGGAGACAGGTGAGTGCATGGGATATTTTCAAGGTAGAAACAAGAGGTTTTGGTGAGCAATTGGTTGTAGGTGACAGAGAGAAAAAAAGATTCCCAAGATGCTACCTTGTGCTCGTACGTGATTGAGACCATGTCTGGGAAAAAGGACTTGAATGCAAGAAGCAGCCAGCACTTTCAGGCAGGTAAAGAGAATCCTCGACTGGATGTGTCTTGAACAGCAACTGGATGTGGATGGTGAAAGGATGGACGGGGACCAATGGTGGAAGGGGATGTCTCAGCGGGCCCATG